TATCATATGGTTTTTATATTTCGTTTTGTTGATGTGTTGGATAACGTTGATTGATTTTCGGATGTTGAACCATCTTTGTGTCCCTGGAATGAATCCTACTTGGTTGTGGTTAATTATCTTATGGATACATTGTTGGATTCTGATAGCTAAAATTTTATTGAGGATTTTTGCATCAGTGTTCATTAGGGAGATTGGCCTGTAGTTTTCTTTTTTTGTGTTGTCCTTGTTTGGTTTTGGTATTAGTGTAATGTTGGCTTCATAGAACGTGTTTGGTATTGTCCCTTCCTTCTCAATTTTTTGGAAGAGTTTGTGAAGGATAGGCACTAATTCGTCTCTGAATGTTTGATAGAATTCATTTGTAAATCCATCAGGTCCTGGGCTTTTGTTTTTGGGGAGGTTTTTGATTACCATTTCAATTTAGCTGCTTGTAATTGGTCTGTTTAGGTGTTCTATTTCTTCTTTATCTAGCTTTGGGTGATTGTAGAGTTGTAGGAATTTGTCCATCTCCTCTAGATTGTTGAACTTGTTTCCATATAACTGTTGATAGTAGTTACTGATTATTCTTTTGATTTCTGCTGTGTCTGTTGTGATTTCTCCTCTTTCATTTTTGATCCTGTTTATTTGTGCTTTCTCCCTTTTTTCCTTTGTGAGTCTGGCTGGAGATTTGTCTATTTTATGGATTTTTTTCCAAAGAACCAGCTCTTGGTTTTATTGATCTTTTGGATTTTTTTTTTTTAGTTTTGATTTCATTTATTTCTGCTTTGGTTTTAATTATTTCTTTTCTTCTACTGGTTTTGGGTTTTTTTTGTTGTTCTTTTTCTAGATCTTTGAGCTTCGAGTTTCTTTGAGTTCTTTCTTGTTTCTTGATGTGAGCCTCTATTGCTATATATTTTCCTCTTATTACTGCTTTTGCTGCATCCCATACATTTAGGAAATTGGTGTCCTCCTTGTCATTCAATTCAAAGAATTTTTTAATTTCTTCTTTGATCTCCTTGTTAGTCCAGTGGTCTTCCAGAAGTGTGGTAAAACCCACTTTTCTTAAATCCATGAAGTCTCTGGGTGGGTTGGCCTATATTTGCAAAATATGTAGCTTTTTGCCCTAAATTGCCTGTTTTAAATATATAAGTATACATTATTATGGATGGTCACAAAAACCTGATCTCTTTCCTTTAAAAGTGATTTAAGTTTGTCTTTTAAAATGGTATAGTGAATTTTTCTAAGAAGTCATTAGTCATTAGATCTTGGTGATGGCACCCATTTAACAGAATCATTTCTTCAGGTTCTTAACTGAGTTTGGCTTTCTTGACCTGGGTTTTTAGGAGATGTTGAGCACTGAGATTAGAGGCAGATGGATTCTCTGAAGCATTCAACCTAACAGCCCTGGGGAGTGGCATTGCCAGTTCATTAATTAGTTCATGGAGCATCCCTTTGGGCTAGGTTAGCAAGTTTACCCCTATTTTTACAGATAAAGAAAATGAGGTGTGAGGCATTAAATTGGTTCATAGGGAAAGGTTTGGCAATAGGTACTGGAGTCAGAATTTCAAACCTTTAGTCAGCTCCTCACTTTGTAGACTTTGATGTTATTTGTTCACACGCATATTTTTAAGGTAACACTTTAGGCTCACTGAAATGGGTTTTTATAGTGAACAGATTAATATTTTTGAGTCATGGAAGTTTTAACTTGAATGTTGAACTAGTGATATTTTCTTGTTAAATGTCATTTGAAATTTGTGACCTTAAGTTAAATTACATACTTAGAATGATTTTTGGTTTTTGTTTAACAAAACCAATTTAACCATAGGCTAATCGATATAAATAAAAGTTAATTTCCTAGAGCATACTTCTGGTCACAGAACCATCACCAAACTTCTAAATAAATACCCAACACACTTATATTAAACAATCATTTGTATTTATTCATTTATTTGTTACCTCTCTTTCCAACTCTCTTACTCCAGTGACCGGTTGTCATAGATCAGGGTATAAGGGTGTAAGGCTAAACCCAGCCCTTGTTAAAAAGTCCTTCCATTGCAGGGTGCACTCACACCCACACCGAGAATGGGGCAGTTTAGACATACCAATGAATCTCACTTGCACATCTGTGGGATGTGGGAGGAAACTGAAGTACCTGGTGAAAACCCACGCAGATCTGGGGAGAAAGAGCAAACTGCACACAAACAGTGCCCCTGGCCAGGAGTGGTTTCATTCTTCTCACCAATGTTATAACAAGAGGATGTTGAATGAAATGATGTATTTAAGCAAATGTTCTTATGATTTGCAAATATTTTTGCCCACTGCGCAGGTTGTCTTTTCATCTAGCTGGTGGCTTTCTTTGACGTGCACAGCTTTTTTAGTTTGATGTAGTCCCTCTTGTTTATTTTTGCTCTTGTAGCCTTTCCATTTGTGATCCAATCCAAAAAAATCATTACCCCAATGGGTGTCAAGAAATGACTACCTATGTTTTCTTCTAGGAATTTTATGATTTTTGATCATAGATTCAAGTCTTTAATATGTGTTGAATTAATTTGTGTGGATGCTGTAAGATAGAGGTCTGGTTCTTTATGTTGCTTGTGGCTGTCCAGTTTTCCCAGCAGCATTTATTGAAGAGATGGCCTTTCCGCTTTGTGTATTACTCATTCCTTTGGCAGAAATTAATTGGTCATACATACATTGGTTTATTTCTCAACTCTTTTCTGTTTCATTGATCTATGTGTCTTAAAGCATCTTAATTAACCTTCATTAAGTATTTACTGTGCAACTAACAGACACTGTCAAGGATAATTTTAGGTAACAGAGAGTCACAGAAGAATGGATACTTTTTATTCCTCATTAAGATGGCATAATTCGACAGACGCAAGAGTACCTTAAGTTCCTTAGAGTTAGTATTTGATCTCTGTGAAGCTAGCAAAATGCGTGACAGATAATGAGAAGTTCATACATAAGGGTTCACTAACATCTCTGCCTTTATAATGTATGATTTTAGACAAATTAATCAATTGAGTTCATTTCTTCATTTGTAAAATGGGGCCATAGTAATAGGCTTCAGGGCTTGTTTTTGATGATTAAATGATAAATAATACATCTAAATTACTTAGTACTGTGTTTACCATCAAATATAATGCAATTAATGTTAGCTATTTTTATTAATAAAATCCTTTTGCTTATAAGTACCCTTTATCAAATTAGGGGGAAATAAGTCCTAAAAGCAAATGTATTATCATAGATATAGGAGCAGGAGCAGTTTGAGAAAGAAAACAAATGAATGAAGAGAGAAGTATTGTTGATAACTGAGCTGATCCTAGCAAATGGAATTTTAGCAGGGGAATGGAGAGCACATTTCAGGGAGAGTAGCATGATAAACAAAGGCTTGGAAATGGATGCCGGCTGTGATTTGGAAATGGAGGGGAGTAGGTTAGTTGGACAAAATGCCTTGACTAGGGTTCTGGGTGGATGGAGTATTGGGTAGGAGATGAGAGAACTGAGCAAGCCGTAGCTGGACATGGGGTTCTTGGAGGCCAACCTTAAGAATTGGGCTTTAGGGGTCTCCCTTGTGGTGCAAGGGTTAAGCACAACTGTGAAGCTGTCTGCAGCTACTGTTGCACGAGTTTGAGCCCCAGCCAGGGAGCTGCCCACATGGTGCAGCAGATCTCTCCTGCCTTGCCTGCTGCTCCTCTCAGCTGTGTATTTCAGTCAATCTGCCTGTTCTGCTCCCCACTCTGTCTCTGGTGAATCCTATCACCCCCACACCTCTGGCCTACATCCCAGCTCTTGTATGCATAAATAAATAAATCTTTAAAAAAAGAGAATTGGGCTTTATTTGGTGGAAATCAAATAGCAAAAGACTGAAGAAGGGGGTAGGATGGGTGGAGGAAGGAATATGAATAATGAAGAGGAGATATTGAGAGAACAAAACTTGAGAAGGTCAAAGGGTCAAGGCACAAATTGAAGACACGAGATGGGGGTGGAGGGTCCTAAATTATTAGTGGAACAAACAGAGGCAGCAGGGGCCAAAATCAAGATGGGGTTTGGTTTTGTAAAGGGCTAAGGGCCCTCCTGTAAGACAGGCAGAAAAGGAAAAGTGACAAAGGTAAAGAGGTAGATGCAATGGGTGTGGAGGGAAGGGAGCCCGGAAGACTTCTTGTCTGTTGGCCTCTATTTCCTTGAAGCTTGAAAAGAAATAACCTGCTGAGAGTGAGTATGTACGGGATGGGATTTTTGCGGTACAGAAAGAGAAGGTGGGGTTTGGATTACCCACTGCAGGAAATGTAAGAAATTGTTGACATGAAGGAGAGATCGGCCAATGTTGGAGCCCTGGCTCAGGTGATGGAGCTCCTAGAAGTCATGCGGTTCTTGTTAGCAGCAACCTGGAAGCAGAAGGATAGGGATAGGTGATCAGACCAACTCCCATGCAAGGGGTTCAGGAATTGAGGATGCTGGGTAAAAGTGATGGATAGGGGAAGAAGCAAAGCCAAGTCAAAACTGACCAGGCCAATCTTAAGAGGAGTGGGTGGGGTCAGGTGCCTGGTGGGCGTCTAGATTCAGAGAGTAGGCAAGGAGAGATAACAGAACCATATGTAGTGGCTGGTAGAAGAGGACAATATTGTGTAGGATTATTTTAATTTCTCAATTTTTTTGACCAAACACAGCATTATAACATTAAATTTCATGTTGTATTGTTTTTTGTTTGCTAGAAAGCATTTTTTTTTAAAGGTTGCCTTAAAACTCTCATGACAACTCATCTCTTCCTGTTGTTGGCACATATTATGAGCAGTACAATCCCAATGTTTAAGGTTTTTGTTTTTGAGAATTTTGTTAAACCCATATAATATTGAGAGAGGGTGAGCCTTGAGTGTTTCTGTAAGCGGCCAAAAAGCAGAGTTTTAACAAAGGCACATCAGGTCTCAGCCAGTTCCTTGGAAACCTGTAGTTTTTTCTCAGAAGGAAAAAAAAAATCCCCAAAGAACATAAGCTCAGTGATTTGTATTTCTTTGCTTTTAAAGGTAAAACCCGTAACCCACAGCAAGATCAACGTGTCAGCTCGCTTTAGGAAAACGCCTCAGGAACCCTGCACCATCTTGTAAGCTGGAACGCTTTACATTGCAAGTTAAAACTGGCTTGGTGGTCTCTTGGTTTGGGATTTGTTTTGTAGTTTTAAAGGCATCACTGTTTCAGATGGTCTGGCTTATTTTTCTTTTCTTTTCTTTCCCCCAGCTTGATTGCAAATGGAGACCTCATAAGCCCAGCTTCTCGCCTCCTCATTCCCAGAAAAGCCTTGAATCAGTGGGATCATGTACTGCAAATGGTCACAGAGAAAATAACTCTGCGGAGTGGAGCAGTGCACAGGTACGTGGACATCATCTGAGAGCTGATGGGTTTCAGGATGATTGTATGTATTCCGAGTGGCTCCGAGTCTATCCCTAGATCCAATTTTTGACTCCCGGGGTCGATATTCCTTACGTTATATGATGTGATGTGATGTGATAGTACTTCCATTATAGGGTTGTTTTTAGGAATGAGGTAACCCACAGACAGAGCTTAGAACAATCCTTGGCACGCAGCAGTAACTCCACAAATATTAGCTCATTTTTATTCTTCTGATTTGGAGCAGAGACAAGAATCGATATTGTTTCACTTGACACAGACTTTTTTTTGAGTGAGCCAGCTTCTTGGCTCTTAATTAAGTGTTCTTTTTTCTCAGGAGATATTTATGCTTATTTAATGGCTCCAATGATTTGCCCAGGGTAAAAAAATACCAGTCTTCAGGAGGCGGTTTGTGGGTTTAAGGAGGAGGCAGGTAAGAAAGGATAATTAAGTGAGATTGCCTGAGCTTGAGAAGTCAAAAGCATTTTCTCAGGTTCTGAAATTTAAGTGATGATTAAAAAACATGGCTTTTATTTATTACTATTATTTTTTAATCTTATATTTTATTTTATATTCCCCCATACAATTGCAAACGCCCCATTCTGACCCCAATCCTTCCCCTCCTGAAAGTGTCTCTGGTTCAGTTTTTTGTTGATTTTGATTTTCACTTTCTTATATTCATTTTCCTGGTCCCTTATTTAAGTTTTCTAGATTCCTGCTATGAGTGAGACCATCCAAAACATGGCTTTTAAATTGTGAAGCCTATGAAATTATATTTTGATGGAGGGTGACTTATTTATTTTCTTTTGGGTGAGAGGGTTACATATAACATATACAAGCACAGAATGTATTATGAATCTATCTGGTATGTGACACACAAATATTTGATTGCACTCAAGTTTTCTGGCAGTTTTCCTTGAATTTCCTCATCACTCTAGTCCCTCTTATATTCTCCACTGGTGGAGCTCACTGCTTTTCAAGCTCTTATGCCTGTTTCATATCTATTTACCTATTTACCTGTAGACATATATGATACAATAAGTTCTAGAATGATTGCATATTATTTCAGTTAAATGTGGATAGATGATAGTTTATACATATAATAATATATAGGGCATATTATTAATATATACAGTTTCATAGACATTGAGATTTTAAATCTAATTGTTTTAATTGAAAGTAATACTTCACATATGGTAAAAACATTCAAATAGGGCAAAGATATAAATAAAAAAAATTTCTCCTTTCTCAGGCTCCCCAATTCCACATTCTACTACTTTTCAGCATCAAAATATTCTATGCATACTGAAGTGAAGGCACATTTGTTAAAAACACAAATAGGAACACACACATACATATATACATGAATAAATATATAAATATACCTGCTTTTTCCCCTTGTAACAACAAATCTCGAATTTTATTCTAATCAACATCAATAATTCTTTCTATTTTTAATGCTGTAAAAGATTCCACTTTATGACTACTCCTAGTTTGTTTTAAGTCTTTTCTTGATGGAAATTTAGGTAATTTCTAATATTTTGCTATTACATGTATGTGTCTTTGTATATAAGCAAAGTTTGTCAGGAGACAATTTTGAAGTCAAATTTCTATGTTAGGGAGTAAATGCATTTTCAGTTTTGATTGATTCTTACAGTTGCCTTCCAAAGAGTTCATACCGATTTATACTATAACCAAAAGGACATGAGAAGGCTTGATTTTCACATTCATCTATCCTGTGAAACTAACAAACTTTTTGTCTTTTCATTCATTTTGGGTAAAAATATTCCATTTTTTTTCTTGGCTTTATTTATTATTTATTTGTATAAGAGTAACATCTTGATCATTTCTTGTGTGCAAGGAATTACTCTGAAAGTTTTATAATTTTATATTTTTTAACTTGGCAACTCTATGAGGTATGAGGTAAGTAGTATTATTATTTTATTTTAATTTTTTTATTTTTGTGTAGAAGAACTGGGGTGTAGGCCAGAGATGGGGGGGGGGTGAGAGGATTCCCCAGAGAGTGGGGAGTAGAACAGGTGGATTTATTGAAATACATTGCTGAGTGGAGCAGCAGGTAAGACAGGAGAGGTCTGCTGTGCCATAGGTGGATTATCTCCCTTGTCAGGAATCAAACTCAGGCCATACCAGTGATAGCGCTAAGACTAATCCCTAGACCATCAGGGAGGCCCTTATTATTCTCTTTTAATAGATATGAAACATGAGACACAAAAGGAAAAAGTTATAGTCCCAAGATTATGCAGATACTGAGTAGCAGGACTGAGTTTCAAGTCCAGTGGGCAGTATGGCTCTGGAGCCTGTGTTGTTAAGTAGAAAGCTCTTCTCTAAATAAGTGCCACATAGTTATTTTCATTCATGGCCTTTACACATTTATCTTATTGATTCGTGGACACTCTTTACATATTAGGGGAACTGGCTCTATTTTATGTGAGTTTTAAATATGATTCCAATTTGTATTTTTTATACTCTATTTTTCCTTTTGCACACAGGTATATTTACTTTTGATGTAGTCAGATTTTCTTATCAAGATTATAAAATTTCCTTCCATGTGTTCATCTTATATTTTTTAAAATTTTATTTAAATCTTTGATTCTTCTGCATTGTATTTAGGTGTTAGGAGTGAAGGCAGATTTTAATAGTTATGTATTAATATTTTTAGATAGTTTTATCTTTTACATATACATAAGTGTAAACCCATTCAAATAAATAATATATACACACAATTGCATGCCAAGACTCACCAATTCATATAAAATGATATAAACAAATTTATGAATAGAAATCAATTACTGCAAATGCCAGTAAAGAAATGAACATATAGTTATATGTCTCCTAAATACTTGAATACTTGGAGAAACTTCTTTTTGAATGTAATATAAGATATCAGGAGATTTGGTTGCTGCTAATTTGGGACGTGTCCAACAGAACAATAATAAGTCTTTGGACATGTATATATTATTTGTAACCTTCCTATCTAAAAGAAATAAATTTGTCAGTCTGTATCAAGGGATAATCTTCATGGTTTAAAAAGTCATGTTTTTAATCTTCTCTTAAATTTCAGAACTTGAGAAAAATGCTTTTGATTTATCAAACTTCACCATTTAATTATCCCTTCTAACCTCTTCCTCCTTAAACCCATTAATGACCTCCTGATATCTGTTTTTTTTTAACCCTGGTCGAGTAGTTTGGACCTTTAAAAAACCATGAACATCTTCTGAGAAAAAGGACCTAGGAATTGGCTCACTTAAAAATAAAAAAGTTGCATCTTTCCTCATGTCAATATGTCTATGCATCAAAAACATACAGTAAAAATTGGTTTGACTCCTTGTTTTCTTGTATTTTGTAGTAACGAAAGAAAGCAGGTGAAGGGTAATCACATGTTAGAAGACTTACACCATGAGTTAAAATTTATGCAGTACTGTTCAGTTACCTACAGAAAAAAAAAAAATCAATGAAATGTTGCCTGTTTCCAGATCCATAGCCATGCTGCTTTTTAATTTCTTAGTACAAAAGTTAACTACTGATTCAGATCTTTTTATTGTGAAGGAAAATGAAAGAAGAATGTGTGGGTCTAGGTGGGTGGTTATCAACCATGGGTCGTCTTACCCCAGGGGACATTTGACCATTTCCAGAATGATTTTAGGTGTTCACAACTGGCAACAGGGGTAGCTACTTAAGTCATCTAGCAAGTAGAGGTGAAAGGACTGCTAAACATCCCATAACTCACATAACACCCCCCAACTCCCCAACAAAGAATTATAGGGTCCAAAATGTTAATTGTGTTGCTGTTTATTAACCCTGGTCAAGTCAATGCTGTTTATTAACCCTGGTCAAGTCAATACAAGAAAACCAGAAATCTGTTTGTGTTGATATTCAGACTTGTATGAATAGAAGTACGATGTTACAAAGGAAGAGACTAGCATTTTTATACTAAATCAGACACATTTGGGGGATTTGGTCCCTATTTGAATTGTACTTCATGGATCCCTATAATGTGGTCATTTACTTAATCAGCAAATGCCACAGACAGGCAGTTGTCTCCCCACACCTCCACAAAATGTCCCACAAAATACCCACACCTCCCCACACCTTTTGCAAATGTTGCTGAGGTTTATAATATAAGAAGTCTGAGAGCATTATTTTTAAGTTTGTTTTGCTTTATTTAGTTCATTCATTTCTGTTGGTTTATATAACATCTATGAGTGGAATCATACGGTGTTTGTCTTTCTCTGACTTATTGTAGCCTCTTGGCACATCCGTGTGACTGTAAATGGTAGGATTGCACCTGTTTTTTTATATAGCAGAACAGTCTTCCATTGTGTATAAATACCACACCTTCTTTATCCAGTCATCTGTCCATGGACACTGAGGCTATTGTGCATTTTGCTGCAGTGAGCCTGGGGGCATCTATCTTTTTGCTTTAATGCATTTGTATTCTTCAATTAAATACGCAGAAGTGGGATAACTGGGTCTTATGGAATTTCCATTTTTAATTTTTTGGAGAAATCTCCATCCCATTTTCCATAATGGCTGCACCAATTTACATTTCCACCAACACCAATATATCCCCTCCAAGAATTCCTAGAACTTTTTAAATTATTATCTTGAAATCCTTGAGTCTGCTAACTTTTACTTGTAACCTTTATAAAAGAAGCATTGTCTTTCTGCTGTAGTTTTTTATGGCTTATTTTTGCCCTTTAAAAAAATTCTGGGGACACTTTAAATCAGCAAGTGAAATTATTACTGTGCTTTTAATAAGTCACATATTAATTGTAGTTGGTCACAGCAGTTTACAGTAAAGAGAGGCTCTTGTGAAATCCCTTGATTCTGGGAAGATGAGGGAAGGCAGGGGAATGAAGAACAAGAGAGAAGCATGAATGCTATGCAGTTCTGCACCATTAATACTGGCAATGGGTTCTGTTCCTTTCTGCCCTCTCACCTCTTGCCTTCTGACCCATTTCTGTGTGTCTGGATGTAATATTTTGGCTGAGAGCTGTTCTTGCACAGATTGCAGTAAGTGACTTGTCAACCTAACAGAGTCATTAAGAAAATAAATTTTGAAAGTGCTTTCAGAATATAAATAGAAGAATCAATCTTCAGTGGATGCTGAGCTTTATTTAAAGGCCCAAGTTCTGTACAAGTGAATTCTCTCTCTCTAAAATCCTAACATAGCAGCGATGGGGACTGTTTATGTTAGATTGTGAGGTTTATTGGGATGAAAACCTGTACATCTGGGTACTAACTGTATGTATATTGTAACATAGGCATTTAGTTGGACCTAATGACTGTGAAACATGTATAATTCAATAATTAGAATAGTAATAAATGGGCCAAATTAAGAACAGAATGTTTTTATTTACTCTGTAACATTAGAATCTTTCAGTGCTTGTTAACATTGTAATTGCTGGCATTTATGTTTTGGCAGACTTTACACTTTAGAAGGAAAACTGGTTGAGAGTGGGATCGAGTTGGAGAATGGGCAGTTTTATGTGGCTGTCGGCAGAGATAAGTTTAAGAAATTGCCTTACACGGAACTACTTTTTGATAAGTCAACAATAAGAAGGCCTTTTGGGTAAGTTTGCATCATCATTCACTTTTCATATATTGATTAGCACTTAAAATAGCCTGGAATCTTTTGCTGACCCCTGAGACACTTTATATAGTCCTGTTACCAGGATTGGAAAGCATGCATGAGACACAGAATTATTCTTATTTGCCCCCCTTTATTGGTTAACACTGGTTCACAGTAACTCTGTATATGACTTAGGGGACTAGGTTCATACCTTGCCTACTGGATGTCACCATATCACCTCTACCATCCAAACACCCATAGTCCTTATCCTGGACCATTGGGCCCCCTCCCACATTTGTTCCCACCCCTACATTTCCTCCCCTTCTAGTAGTTTCAGTTCTGCAGTCATTATTTCTCAGGGTTTATTTTGGGTTAGTAATGTGAGTTCCTTTGTGGTTATGATTTGGTTGTTGTAGATTACTTGTTTGTTTTCTTTTATTCCAAATGAGTGCAGTCATGTGCTATTTGTCTTTCTCCTTCTGGATTCTTTCACTTAGCATAATCTGCTCCAGTTCTGGAGATTTTTTCTTGTGAAGAAGATCCAGGGCAGTGAACTGCTATACAGTATACAATATTTGAAGTTTTAATAACATCTTCACTACTTAACTGAACCAAATGATTTTTTTTAGTTAGTACCCATAGAAACATCCAAAGTTGTTAAAAACATATTTTATTAAAACCCTTCTAACAGTAACTGCAATATATTAAAAAACATAATTCCACTGGTGCAAGTAAGTTGAGTATATATTTAATCTGTGCAAGATGTTAAAGCTTGCACTTTTAACTGCATACCGTGCATTGTGAACTTTTTTTTTTCTCTGAAGTGTCCTATCTTTGGGACATTTTGTGGGGTATGCTTATAAGTCACATGACATTGTGTAGTCACTTTGCTATTGGAACTGACTGTGGTTGTCCTCTGCTGGGGGCTGGGGACGTGGGCGGTGAGACCTGCTGAGAGAGAGCAGAATGTCACCAATTTGTTCTCCATTAATTTGTAATTTGTGTAGCTGTGTGAATTGACTAGCTGAGGGTTTCAGAATAAGTAATAAATGGAATGGAATTTCAGGGGCAATGTTTAAAATATGTAAGAACACTTGGTTTTCTAACATTTTAGAATGCTTTATTGGCAGTCTCACTGCTAACCTTCTTCACCCATCCGTGAAGTTAAATCCTTTACAATCTCTTCCAAGTAGCACTAGATTAACCTGCCTGAACTACAGTGTATACTTGATGGTGGTGAGAAAACTGTAACTCACAAATTAGGAAGACTTACCTTTACCTATGTAAAAGCCCTCTTATTTTCCAAATGCTGCAATTGGGTTTCAATGTAAGTCTTTTCCTGATCATGTAGCCATCTGTGAAGCAACTTACTCTTATTGACTATGAGTATTAAAAAAAAATCAATGAGAATACTGGTTTAGAAACCCTTTGAATATAAAAGCCAATGTTTCACCATTCTGAACTTCTATCAGAAGTTGACATTATAGGAATTCTACTATCAATAGCAAGTTAATGCCTTAAACTTGTTCTGCAAAATGACTACTCAGCCTGGAAAATGTTTTTTGGAAGTGTAAATAGAAAGTGTGGGCATTTGAATAAAAAGACTGTGAAAAACATGTAACGTGGTAGTAAAAGTTTATTTGTAAGCATCAATTGAAATAGTGTACAGGAAAATATAAAAAGGCATTTGGAATGGATTTGGAAATTTCATGGTGGTCATTGTGAATTTGGGAAAACATATGGTACTCTTGGTGAAACATTGATATCAGTAAACAGTTGACTTCCAGGTTGGGATGATAAATTTGGAATGATGATCTTCTTGCATTTCGTGTTTTGTAGCTATTCAGATTTCTAAATTGCAATTTGTTTCCACAGTCAGAAAGCCTCTTCACTACCTCCTATTGTGGGATCCCGAAAGTCTAAAGGGAGTGTAAGTATCAGATGCTTTACTCATTAATGTCCTATATTTCTATACAATACAGAGGGAGATTGTCCTTTGGGTTTCAATTAAATTTGAAGAAATAAAACTTAGCCGCCTTGTGGTATATGGCAATTATGTGAAACAACTCTAGAACATTAATGTTATAATTAAGGTCTGAAAAGAGTACTGACATTAAAAAAAAATAGATTTCATGATAGGTATCTTTTCCTTCTATGCAGACCTGATATAACCAATATCATGGTTGAAATTTAGGCAAAAGAAGAAGTGTTGTATTAGGACAAATCAGGGGCTACTCAGCCAGTTACATATGGGAAAGACTAAGAAAGAAGTTTTTCTTCTGGTTATCCTATTTTTCTTTATAAAGATTGAGTCTTTACAAATATTTCATTCTCCATGAGAATGCATTTAGTTCAACATGCGTTATTGATTCATTTACTTGTTTTTTAACTCAGCAAAATCTTTTTAATGACTATTATATGGATGCTATGACAAGCATTTAGTAATTTCTTAACCTGCTTGTATTTTACTGTACTCCCTCATGGAGTTGAACTTTTTATCATGCTGGTGTATTGCCTTGGCAGATTTTTCTGGCTCAAGTTTCTCTTTCTAAACTTTTGATTGAATTGCCTGATTATTAGTGATCAGAATTGATTAAACATTCAACATTTCATCCCATCTATGAATTAACTAGGCAAAATTCATATTGCAGTATTTTATAAAATAATTGATTGCTGGGTTCTGTTTTCTCCTGCAGATGGTCCAGATATACTTTCCTTTTGGTTTTGCAATGTGAAATTCTTGAAAAAAAATAATTTTGCATAAAGTAGTGCTAAAATCAGCATAACAATAGAGATTTGTTGTCCACTCATCTGCTTAGACTCTTGTACTCTTCGTATCAAAGTTCCTGAGAAACTTTATGACAAAGTTCTCAAGAAACTTATGCTCCAACTGGAGTTGAGGAGATAGCTTGCAGAGGTAACTGACAAGCTAAAATTAAACATCAAATATGTGATGAGATCAGTAAATATGAGAGAGGGAAGGAATCTATGTGCATTGGCTGAAGTCTAAGGAGGAAACTAGATTTGAGCTATGTCTTTGAGAACTGTTTAAGATTCAGGTACAGGTAGGGGAGGGGATAAAAGGATGATGTGAGGAAAGGAAGAGACCAGCAGTAACCGAACTAATCCTTAGTGAGTGCTTGTGGGCTTCTCATTATGCCAAATTCTTTACAGATGTGATTTATTTAATCCTCACCCTCACAGCAGGCACCATTGTTATAAAATATGCGTATTTTAAGATGAACAAAGGAAGCACAGACAATACAAGTGGCACATCCAAAGGCTTCCATTTGACAAATAGCAGAAGGATGAAGTCTAGATGGGCTGGGATGTCTGGAGCGCATATTCCTGACCCTAGAGGGGACCATGAATCCCTCAGACTGAGTGGAACACAGGATCCATCATGGCTGGAGGCTGGTATACCTGAAATAGTAATGAGGACAATTTTTAGGTAATCTTGAATACCAGAATGAAGAGTTTAGTCTTTATCCTTGAGTAGAGGGCAGCTCATAAGGACTTCTAAGAGCTGATCATGTTAGGCTGTTAGTGTATAACCAAGGGGCACCCAGGGACCCCAGACTGTTAAGGGGTGCTTGCAAAGGAAACAGATTTTCAGTGTGAAAGATTTGTAATAAAGTTGATGTACATAAAGAGAGTGAGTAGAAAGGATATCAAATAACAGATTCCCAAGAAAACTCCAAAAATCACCCATCCCCTTGTCAGCAAATGCCCATGCAAACAGGCTTGGCTCAAGGGGAGTCTGCTAAGTTTCCAAAACTTGCCACTAGTCCAAAGTACTGTTGGGCCAGGAGCCACAAGAAAGGGATTAAGCAGGTTTCAGAGAGCAGGTACAGAAGGAGAAACTCAAAATTCAAAAACATACCACATAATGATGAAGCCAGGATAACAGCTGCCATTGTCTCTGCCAAGGACCAGGGCAGCCACCCCACTTGTCTCTCCTGTGTCTCTTTCCAGTGTCTCTACATGTCTCTCCTTCACGTATCTGCTCTAAGTCCCCATCACCTTTGTTTTATCTCCTTTGTAGATACACCCTACTCCTTCCCAGCTGTTCCCCTCTTGGAAAGTCCAGTTCATAGCTTGCTGGGTTTCATCCAAGGTGATTGCATGTCAGTGAGGGTGTGGAAAATGGTGAGGCGTATATATGTTACAAGTCCACATCCATTTTCAGAAGGCCAGATCTTTTATCTGGAGAAAGACTTAGTAGGGTGAGAATCCATAAATTAGACACTGGAGATGGGTCAACTGCAATGACCTTGTGTAAATTGATGGGAACCTGGAGTAGGGAGGTCATACAAGTATTGGGAGGTGATTATTGTTTATGAAGAAACAAGGTATTTCCTTAGTAATTTGCACATGGGGTTATTGGACAGATTGGACCCCAAGATAACTACAAGTTTTTGATCTTGGATGCCCAAGAAAATGGTAGTACTTTGACTAAGAAGAGGGCAGTCAGAGAAAAAAATGCTTAATTTTCTGCATGCTGAGTTGGAAGTGTCATAAGAAAATCTATAAATTTTCAGCAAACAGGTGTAAATATTGGGGTCTGCTGAGGATCACAGGGCTGGGGCTGTAGATTTGCAAGTTGGTTCATGGGATGGTCATAGTGGACGAACAGAGACTTGTCACTGTGATGTTCCTTCCTAGCATCCAACACAGCTGGGCAGGGAGAGAACAGGTCTCCTCATGATGTTGAGTGACTGGGCAGGGGAGTGGGCTTCTAGAAAGAGAGAGTGTGCAAACAGAACTGCACAGGATCCATATGGAGATGCTGGGGCATGAGACTATTCCAGTGGCTGAAAAATACATTTAGCCATTTTCAGGATAGAAGAAACCCATCATTTGGGAGTTTGGAAATTTTGTCCTCTTCAGAACTTTGGAGTGGAAGCTCTTCTGCAACTACCCCAGTATGAACCCATTCATTCTCATCTCACAATACCACCAGAAGGGGGATGGTTGAAAGGGGCTCAATGTAGTTAAAGTCACAGGAAAAGTTGATGTCAGAACCACCATCCACACTCCACTCTGCATTCACAGTTACTGAACTTTGGATTGATTGGTGTTTACTCTTCTGAAATTTGAAAAGTCTAAGTTTTTTAAATTAAAAATGTGTAATGTGTTTCCTGCCTTAAAATTCATATGCAGGAGGCACACGTGCACTTTTCTTTCTTGCTCACTTGATTGGAAGTTCTCTGGTATCTGAATATTCATTCATCTAGTGATGACTGATTGAATTTTCTGTGTATCTGGCATGGAACTAAGTCCCAGCAAGATTATGACGTACAAAAAGACATGGTGCTCTCTCTTATGCAATGCTCTACTTGAGGAGACAAATAATGAACAAACAATTCCACATATCAATATACAATTACAACATGGAGGAGAATAAAAAAAAATTGCAGAGCAATTTGAGAGGTAATAAAAGGAGAACTAATTTAGGGAGGTGTGCCAGAAAAGCCCTCTTTGGTGATGTGACTTTTAAAGAAAGGCCTTAAGTTTGAAGATACAGTTCCATCTCTTAGAAAGCAAAAACTCAAAATGTTAGCATGTTTCCTTGCTCTGACTTAGAAAAATCAAACAGCATTTGTCCTCTTTCCACAATAATCCCAAAGTCTTCTATATATTATATATATATATCTGTCTAGCTACTCATCCACGCCGTCATTCATTCATTCAACTTGTATTTAATGAGCAGTTATTAAGTTCCAGGAACTGCTCTAAGAAGCTGGTGATCAGTGATGAACAGAGACAGAGTTTCAAACAGATCTTTAATTCATGTATATGTGCATGCATGTGTAACCTGGGGTGAACAGACCATCAACCCCTAAACCTATACGGTCCTGTGTCCTTCTGAGAAGTGAATTGTTAGGAATTTTATTATCACTAGAACATCATAGAATGTCATCACACAGACCTAGATAGGATAGCCTATTGCACATTTAGGCTCTATTTAGGGACCGCCATCATATATGAGGTCCATTGTCAACTCAAGTGTGGTTATGTGGGGCATGGGTGTATAAATAATTTCATCTGGAGCTAAGCACTATGAGAAAAATAAATAGGCACTAACTGATAACAAATTCTCTGAAGTAGACCTTTATGATATCATGAGTCAGTCATGCATGGATGAGCAGGGAGCATAGAGCTCCAAGGCAGAGGAAACTACCACTGAGGCTGTTGGGAACCAGCTTGGCTTGCGAGGAGAGCAGAATCTCATGTGTCTGAGGGGTCTGACATGAACCCGGAGAGGCAAGCAGGGAATGATCACATGGGCCCTATAAGGAGTCAGGGCTTTATTCCTTGAGGGAATACTGCGTGAGGGTTAGAAGAAAAGAGTTAGTTGAAATCAAGGGCGGCTTTTGATTTACATTTTTAAAGCTCCTACTGGCTGTGGTGTCTACAGAACAGTGGGCCTGGCAGAAGTACAATCAGGTAGCACTGGGATGTCTGGAGTCAGTTATTTGACGCAAAGTTCTTTGACAGGTGCCTGTGGGTGGAGGTGGGGCAGGCATCTATTATATATCTTCTTCTAGCATATTGTAACTGTCTGTTGTCACTGATTGATTCAATCATCCGTTATTCATTTATTGAGTGCTTATTATGTGCTTTTTTTTTAAGATTTATTTATTTGTGCAAGCACTGGGTACAGTCAGAAGCACAGGAGGGTGAGTGAATTCACCAGAGCCAGAGCAGGGAACAGAACAGGCAGACTGATGAAATACACTGCTGAGGGGAGCAGCGGGTGGCAGGAGAGGTCTGCGCGCCATGTGGGACCCTCACCCTGAGGCTGGGGATTGAACTGGTGCTGCAGAGGCTGCAGGCAGCTTCACAACCCAGCGCTCAACCGCTGCGCCACCACGGAGGCCCACTTATTAAGTTCTGGGCACTGGTCTAGTGCTTGGAGGAAGAAGGCAGGAATAGGAGCCAGAGAAAACACTGAACTGTTTGGAGCTTACATTCTGGAGGAGCAGCTGGACAAACACATATACTGTACATTCGATTTTAATCACATCTAGACTTGAGGAAAAATATGTCAAGATATAGTAAGAGAAAGTGTGAGAGGGTGCTACTTCAGCGGGGGTGGGGTGGGAGGGTCAGGGGGGACCCTTTGAGGAGGTTACATTTGCTCAGAGGGTAACAGCCAGCACACAGTAGGTTTTCCCAACACTTCTTCATGGTGAATGGCAGCATAATACACAGACTGAACATCTCACATTGGTGGCTCCAAAGTCACAAAGTTCATTTTAGCAGAAAGGCTAATTTACTCCTTTCTCTTAATTAATTGGCTCCCTGGAGAAGGTAGGCATTTTTTAAGATCATTAACAGCTTGGCACTGAGTGGGAGCGTGAGTGAAGGGGACTGTGCATGGGGAGTGAGATTAAAACTTTTGGAACCACTGTCAGATCAATCTCTGAAATGCTGATGCCAGTCAAAGGGGGTACAGAACTAGACTGTAAGGACTTCACTAGCTTTCTAGGAATTACTCAGTAGCATGTTGCATGGGGCTGAGAGAATTAAAAATAAAAAAAAAAAAGAGAGGGGAAAGCTGTCCTGGTCTGGTGGTCTGCATGGAAGACGCCTGCTGGTAGCATACCTTACTTGGTCTACAAGGCCCCACCATTGTGGGAGGGAAGTATAGGGAACCTAGGGGCTCAGTAACCCCCTCAAAACAATCAGGAATTCCTTGGCAAAGGAGGACAAGACAGAAGTCACTACTATACATTTTGCTGGGAGTCACAGAAATGAGCAAATTGCAAATAATTGTAATTTGCTATTTGAACCTTGAAAATAAAAGGGAAATATTAGTGAATTGTCTTAAATTCCACTAAGTTTGAAAAAGAAACCCATCAGCTGAGGGTTGTTCTCTAGCTGCGGTTACACCACATATCAATAGAAACAACACGCCCTCTAGTGGAAGAGATAGAAAATCAGGGATGTATTTGAAAGTTACTGAAGACTAGAAAAATTAAATTGCCTTCCATTTTATTACTGTGGGGCTAATATATATCATGATGTAATTTACAGAATGAAATATTGTAATTGTTAGTATTTTGGTAAAAAAAACAACAACAGATTATCTACCTATCACTGTCACCGTAAAGTGTTTCCCTGACTCCATTCTGCCTGGGTGGGGTGTGGGGGGCTGGCACAGAGTCTAGCCTGGATGAAAGAGCTTCTCATCAAAGTAGCAAGTGAGAGAAAGGCCCTTGGGAGTCAGGGTCTAGTTCCCTTGTAAAGTTTCCTGGGTGCATTGCTGTAATATGCCATGTTGAAGACTGCTCTGTGAGGCAAACCACTCACAGAATGATTTTAAAACTATGTTTTATGACCTGAGTGTCTTTGACATATTTTCATGGGGGTTGGAAATGGATTTACTGAGTGGCTTGGATCTTCTTAGAGGGAGCCCAGGGAACTATTTTAAAAATTCCAATTTAGGTAATGTGACAGGGTGGATCAAGTGCTGTTGTTTGTTCATTTGAGGCAGACATTTGTTATTCCTATGGGATAACCTGATATATCTGTGAGGCAGAAGGCAGGACAGGGGATGAAGTGTCACGTGGGGTCTCTCTTTGGCAGGGCAGGTTTAAAATTCAGCAACTTCTTGATTCCTTCCACTTTGGGCTAAAGTTGTAATTTGTCACTTCCAAATGGCTGTTTCAGGGAAACATGCAATCTTATAGCTATTTTTAGTGACTTGGGCATTAGAGAGCTTTAGGATATAGAAAAATCAGACCTGGGTAAAGTTAAGAAAGTTAATTCTTTAACCTAAATTGGTGATAATAATGCTAGGTACAAACTTGGTAGATATTTGTGACAATGGATATTTAGCACATAAGAGGAATTCAGAAATACTGTTTTATCTGCTGGCATATTTGTATGAGATGGTAAAACCCTCCTATGCTCTCTGCCCCCAAATAGCAACCACTCTCTATGCTTTGAAGTTAGAAGTTACATGTGGGAGTCTGAAAAAGATAGGAAAATCCCTCCCTGCTTTCCTTTGTTCTTCCTTCTCTACATATAATTTATATATATTTACCTATAACTCATATAATTATGTAAAATAAACCAAGAACATATATAACATGTTATTTTTTTTGTATTTATTTTGGTATTACTAACACTTTAGATGAATCAACAGTTTTCTTTTAAAAAGTTTAAGTTATTTTCAGACTGATAATTACAAAACAGTTCTTCTCTTTGTTTCAGTTTAATTTTATTCTCACTCACAAAGTGCCAGGCTAATGGCCATTCACTGAATGTATGAGTGTCCATGCCAAAGCCATGCCTTGTGTAGTTACTAGAATCAACTAAAGTTTCTTGCTGCTCCAAAAATCATCCTTTTGAGTATCCCTTTCAGAATTGTAGTAAATCAGGAGTTTCTGGTATATTCCACAAGAAAGTTGATTTTTAAAATTACGTGAATACCCAGTCACTCCAGATTAGATCCTGCTTCTCCCTTGTTATTCTCCTTTTGAAAGACTTTTGCTGGATTGTATAAAAAACTTTTCTGAGATCCAGAGGGTCTCATTTATTGTTTAGTTTGAGTCCTTAGAAAATTTTATCAGCATTGCTGTGCATTCTTATAAACTTGTTAGAAGGATAAGTCCTCTCATTCAACACTGCTAAAGTTTTAAAATCTTGGGATGAATAGACTTGCTTGAAAATTGTCTGGGCTATGAGACCTGGCTGATGGTTTTGGAATCTTCACTGTGATCATATTAACTCTTTCTTCTGCCAGGCAATTTATGGCCTTGTGAGAAAGAATCACTGAAGAAAAATAAAGAGAAATCAGACTCAGGTTGCAGTTAATGCAATAACTAAATGGAATCTGTATGTTTAAATTGCACTTGGAATAGGAAATTAAATCAAGCAAAAAAGTGTTATAGATTTGGACAAGTTTTCATACTGTTAATAAATCTATGCATAATTCATTTTCTTGTAGGCTATGACAAAATAGCATAAATAACTTCATTTGTAAGGCTGTGAATTTTTCTGTTCTTAATTGGGTGATGGCTAAAACTATTTAAATGCTTCTGGATGACTGAATATATAAATGTTTAAAATGAACAGTTATAATAGGTTTCTGGCAGATTTGTTTATTTAACATTACTGCATTTATTTTCAGATGGTAGTATAGTATGGATGTTGCATAAAGATTGTGCCAGATATGGTATGAGTTTGTTGGGATTTTTAAGAAAAAGCTATTAACTCTTTGATTTTGGAGAAAGTTACTCTGATACTCAGTAGAACAAATACCACATGTCAGGCACTGTCAGAGTCACTTTATATATGTTCCATTTCATCCTCAATAGACCCAAAGGCAGGTACATTAATCCAATTCAACTGAGGAGGAAACTAACTCAAAGGAGGTAGGAGTGAGTCAACCCATGGTCCACACGTGCTTCTTGGCAGACCATTGCCTCTGAGCCAGGTATTTGGGGTCTCTAGAACTTGCATTTTTTCTGCTATTTACAGTTGCACACCTTACACACTCAAGTAAGTTTAACACCAGAGCATTTGAGAGACAAGATGACCTTGTTAGGAGGGAGGTTTTTGTTGTAGTGGTGGCCATGGCTAAGTATCAGCACAGCTGTTCTTAGAACTGTTCTTAGAGTTGCCATCGCTGTCATGGCTGCCATGTGGCTCCAGAGCTGTGCTTGGACCAGTGACAGGAAACCACTGAAACTCAGCCTCACCTCCATGCTGACACAAGGTCTTCATTTCCAGTGGCACAAGAGGACCAGAGGCAGCCTCCACAGAGATGATCATCCCTGGCTACTTTGCAGGAATGGGGGTATGCTGGGTCTTTGGAATGAATGGCAGGCATGTGATTCTTTGCTGCTGTGTCTGTCTGTTGCTCTGGATTTACAATTCTTAGAGACCATGGTGGCCAGCAGCAGATGAGTTAGTATCAGAGTTCCACAAGTGCAGCACATGTCTGCTTGCAAGATGGTACCCATAATGGGGTAGTAGCACTACCTGTCTCACAGGGTTATGAGAAGTCAATCAATTTTGTAGAATACCTGGTGCATATTACTCAATAATTGTTAGGTCTTATTTTTGTTGTCCTTCCTCAGCTAGACCCTTGTGCTGCTGCTAGGAAGAGTAATTCAGTATTAAGTGGACAGTAGCAGGATCAGCACCACCCCTTAATCCCCTGCCCCAGTTACCACTAGTTAATGGCTTGAATTTACTAGGAGTCACTATGGGAGTTCGTCAGCCAACACCGATGGGTGTCATCTTCTGTCACTTAGGGAAATGATCGCCAATCAAAGTCAACAATTGGATCCAGTGATAATTCATCTCCTCAGCCCCCAAAGAGGAAAGGGAAAAAAGAAGATGTGAATTCACAAAAACCTACAAAAGGCAAACAAAATATGAAGTTAAAGAATTCATCAAAAACAGTTCCAAACAGTGGTGAGTGTGTTGTTACTATAATGATTAATTACCATTAAGGCTGGGATACAATTTCAATTATCCAGTGGACCTCTTTGTTTCTCTGACTCAGTGTCCTGTATGAGAATTTTCAAAGCTTTCTTGTGTATGAGAAATGCTACTGTTTTTTTATGCTCAATTTCTATCTGTAGACAGATAATGTGCTATGAAGACACTTTTTTTTGAAATAAGGTGTTTCTTATGGTGGTCTTATTTTAAAAAGGTAAATTTTACCATCTTCTACTCCTGCTGAGAGTGTTTGATGAACATTTTTAACAACTACTATTGACATCAGTCTCTTCGTGTGGCTACGTCGCTGTCTGCATTGATTTCGATTCACTTTTAGTGACAGATTACCTTCCTCAAAAGGCTGTTCTGTTAATGTTGCTGATATCCAAGAGAATACTAAGCACACATAAAACTTTACCAGTAGACAGTATGTATCAAAATCAGTTATGTGTTTTTAGCTTGCATTACCATGTGAGACATGGTCTATGATAATTTTATAAAAATTGGCATTAGCGTGAGATCTCGGGATAGACATGTGATAACTAAGGATGCAGCAGAATTGTGAATATTCAGATTAGCATTTTTTTGCAGACAGCCTCATTCTGGTTTTGTTCACCAGGGCGAGCATGTGATATGGGCTGGGGCACAGTGCAGTGGGGTGACGGCTTCTCCTTTTCTCCTGGATCCACCCACTCCCACCACAGGGGGGCATGATGGGATGCCCAGGATGAGGTTGGATGGGATAAGATATCATGGACAGCACTGCAGTGTCCATCTGGGAGCTCCAGTTCATCTCAGAATTGATATGAAGTTTCACATTAGAGTTACAGTATATAATTGAACAAAGCAGGGTTAGGGACGATGACCCACATGCAGTCAAAAATTTTAGTATAACTTTTGATTCCCCCCAATTTAACTACAGATGTGCCTTAGTATCTGTGTGTGTGTGGGAGGTGTTTCAGAACGCTGGTGGATACCCAAGTCTTATAGCTGACCCTCTATATTCCATGGTTCAGCATTCACCAATACAACCAACCACAGATGTCAGTTGGTTGAATCCGAGGATATGGAGGGCCAACTGTGTTTATTTGAAAAAATCCACTTAAAAATGGACCTTGAAGTTATAAACTGTGTTGTTCTGTTGTATAGCTAAGGTGAGCTTCCCCGCTGGGAAGACAGCATGAATCTGTGTGAGAGTTTGGAGGAAGCTGAACAGTTGATTAAAAAGCCAGAAGAAAGATGTGAGAGACTAGGTGAAAATGAATGAGCTAGGCTAAATGAATGAAGCAATTACAGAAGAGAAGAGAGTGAAAGGGATTTAAATCTTGAAAGACTTAAATGAGAGAGATTAGCTGGAAGTCAAGAGTTCTCCATTCTTGCTCCAGTTCTGCTATTGATACTAAATGAGTCATTTGACTTATTTTGGGTCGCCTTAGCTCTCTGTAAACTGTGGGTATGTGTTAAGAATTACCTTTTCAGTTGCACTTATCTTTAAGTTTGTGTGATCCTTTTTGGTGACCTGAAACAATGAGGTGGGGGTGAAAGACACTCAACAAATGTGTATTGAATGCTGAATGTGTGGCCAGCATTAAAGGAAAGATGTTAGCCTTGAAGAACATGGCTATACCTTGAGCATTAGAAGTAATAGAGACTTTATTTTAATCAGTGCCATGGGCTTTCTCCTGAGATTTCTTCTTTCTTTAACCCTTAAAACTGGCAGAGTTCTAATAGATAATGAGATATCAATAAAGAATGATGAATGGATGACAGAAGTCACAAAATAGAGAAGTATCTGAAGTATTTTGACATCCACTAAGGAACATGACCCACTTACAACTTTTCATGAAGTATTCTTGATGCAAGTTTTATAAAGTATTACTTGCTTATTTTCTGTGAAGACTTGATTAGCTTATGAAAACCCCAATTTTTAAAAAATGTGTTACATTTTTATTTTATTTTATTTTTGTGTAGAAGAACTGGGGTCCAGGCCAGAGGTGCAGGAGGTGAGAGGGTTTACCAGAGACAGAGTGGGGAGCAGAACAGTTGGATTTCTGAAATAAACTGCTGTGCCATGTGGGTTAGCTCCCTTTCTGGGGATTGAACTCAGGACATAGCAGTGATGGCACTGAGACTTAACTCCTAGGCCACCAGGGAGGTCCTGAAAATCCCAATTTCTACTTCTGATTATAGATTTTGATGTTGTCCTTCAGAAGAATGAGCACCATCATCTTTTCAGGTTATCTCTTTTGTAAAACTAGGAACATGACACTGGTTTAAATTTTCCCCTGTCAGAGGAAAGCAAAAAATTTTTAAAGGAGTTGAATTATCAGTATTTTTACCTTTGTAGAGACACACATATAATTTTCAACTACATTTGTATCTGTGGTAATGTGCTGGGGTAAGGTAGCAGACCTCTAGCTGTTCTTGCCTCTAAAGAATCCTACAGATGTTTTTAGATATTTGTGCATTTTAAATGGATATTTTCCAATATAATTTTAATAATGTGCAGATTATAGGTTTTTCAACTGCTGGAGCTCATTACATGGAAGAATAACTGTCTTTCAAGTGAAGGTTTTAGGAACTGATTTTTTTTCCTCCAGTCAGACTTGTACACTGATCTAGAAACATCCAGAGAAAGCATTTTGCATCTGTTCATCCTGATAGAAAGAACACGCAGCCTGACAAATGAACATTGCCTCCTGAAAACATTTTCCCAGGAAAAAAAGATTTTGTGCAGTTCATAGTTTAAATCATCACTTACTAAGTTTAATTTTTTTTAGCTTAAATCCATACTATTGAACATTGAGCTATTTCTCTTTAATAGATCTCCCTCCAGATGTTTTGGCTATTGAATTTTCCAGGTTATATTATCTAAATCAGTCTTCTCTCTCTCCCTCTCTCTGTCCCCCGGCCCCTTTAAATTCAGCGTTCGTTTACATTTATTATTGCAGTTGCTTTTTGCTTTAATGTCATCTATTTTCGTAATGAGAACCAAATGTGTGTTTTTGGATCCTAGAGTCTCCAGTGGGCTCTTATGCTTTAGGAAGTTAAAAAGCAATAGTGACTTGAGGCAAAATGAAAGGGAATATATGTGCAGAGGCAGGATAATAAGTAAAAAAAAAAATGCAAGAATTTGGTTTAGAGATGAAATTTACTTAGTTTTTTTTCTAATTAAATACATTTTTATTTTGGAATTAAGATCTACTTAATTTTCATGTAAGTGTTAAATTCTAGAGTTCCGATGAATATCTGTGATTATTTCTTAGTTAAATCAAATTGTGGGTTTTTTTTTTTTAATCTGATTTTGCCTATATATTGTTCTCGTCATAATGAGTAAAAAGAGATTGGTTATCTTGATTTTTTTGAATAAAGGTTTGAGCCTACATCTTGTGTTTTCTTTAACTGTTCCCTTTTACTGATGCGCTGTATGAATGGGCAGTGCTGATATCAGTCTGTAGATGGCAACCTGGGTCTAATTTTATTTCTTACTGATTTCTTCCTTTTTTTTCTCTTTTCTCCCTGACTCTGTTTCTCTCCGTAATAGTAAAAGTTTAATAATTCAAGCAGAGCAATGACATATTTCTTCAGGGAAACAAATCCCATTTTCTTTTGGTAGCCAAGATGCAAAGTAAGATTGCTTGGTGATTGATGAAGTTGGGTGTGAAATGCATTTTTAGTGCTGCATTTAAATACCAGCTTAACTGGCCAGTGTTTTCGCTACACTTCCCACTTAAGCTGCATTTGCTTGAGAGGTTCTAGAGGCCCTTTATCATGCAAGCTTCACTCTGAGCAAACTGGCACGATGATTATTTTTGAAAGAGTATTTGGGGATCGATTATATCCTTTGATCATTTTAATACTGATGATATATAAAAAAAGGTGTCCTTAGAATCCTTGGAACTCAGGAAGTATAGTGAGTTTAGAGTTTCTTAGATATGATGGAAAATACCCAGGTCTGTATTGCTCCGGTTTATGAAGTACTGATAATTATAAATCTCTTTGAAAGGCAGAGTATAAAAACATAAGCAAAAACAAGACTGGATTTTTTTTTAAGAACGTGATTCTCTTTCTGTTTGTGTGTGTGGATGTGTGCCTGCATACACACACACACACACACACACACACACACGTGCACACACATGGACGAGGATCCTGCTCCTTGCGATTCCTGGCTTATTCCCAGCACCCTTCTATGATTCTACCCAGGGAAGCTGGGATGTTCAGACTCCTGATGAATGACAGGGAGCAGGTGCAGCGCCAGGAAAGGATGTCTGTCTCTCCTGACCTTGCTGGGTGACTGCCTTTCAGCAGTCACGCTCTTGGATTTTCTAATAGCTACAGCCTGCACATGGTTTACAGCGTGGCCCCAAGCATGAAGCATTACTGCAATCCATCCTCAGAGGCAGATCATGGGGCATGGAAATGTGCACTTCTCTGGTTCTGCCCATGAACTCTGAAGATAAAACAGAAAGTTCATTTTCCCAATGTGCTCTCTCTGGTCTCACCCTGGAAGGGGTGTCACATACTGGGGGAAGTAAACACGAAGGTGCCAAGATGACATTACAAAACTGGGCACTGGCTTTGTTACTGAGCTAAGGTAAGATTTATGATTTGTTGGTGTCTATTGTGGCCACTTTCTCCCAAGAAATGGAAATAGAGCTTTTCTGCTCCTTCGTCAATTGTAGTTCCCATCTCAATGCCGATATGTATCGTGGAATAAGGGTCCAGTTTTACTCTGATAAATACAGGGATGATAAAAATTAGTAAAATAAGCATTTTTTTCATGCCATAAAAATGGCATAACATACTGGGAATGACATATTGTGGGACAAAAATTCTAGGACAGCGGGGGGGTGGGTTTTAGTGACCTCTTGAACTTTTGCTATTAATAAAAGTTAGTTTGGAAATGTTTACTGTTTTAGCACTGAGAGATTGAACAAATAGAGGCAGGCTGAAGAGCAGTAAGATACACA